TGTTGTTGTTGTTGTTTTTAATAATAATAAAAAATTCATAAATATTTATTTTATTTTAGTTGGTGTTTAAAACTTTATCCAAAAGGTGTTAATGAAAAATCAGTTGAATATATAAGTTTATTTGTTAAATATGTTCGTGGTCGTACAGATTTATTAGCTAAAGCTGAATTTTCTTTAATAAATAGTCGTGGAGAATTTCATATTGTACGTAAAACTCCATATCATGTATTTCCAACAGGTGGTGATTGGGGTTATTCAGAATATTTGATGCGTATGGTATTAACAACACAACGTAAATCGGAATTATTAAATTCTGATCAAAGTTTAAAAATTTTTGCACGTGTTATTATTGTTGGAGAATCATCATCATCAATAATACATGAAGAAAAAAAGAATACATATGATAGTTTAGTTTCATTATCAACACATTTGGGTTCATTAATATCATCAAATAAAGATAATTGTTATGATGTTACTATTATTGTACGACCAGAACAATTTAATAATTTAATATATGAAAATAAATCAAATGATATACCATCATCATCATCATCATCATCATCATCGTCTTCATCATCACCAAAAAAGAATAATAATCGTACAAAACGTAAACGATATAGTTCAAATTCTGGTGGAAGTAGTGGTGCAGGAGAATCATCAGATGAAACAACTTCAACAGCATTAACTGTTTCATCAACATCTACAACAGCAACATTTTATGCACATCGAAGTATTTTAAGTGTAAGTTTTTATATTTATTTCATTTAAAAAATTTAATTAATCAAATGTTTTAATTATTAATTTGAACAAATAAAATTTTTATTTTCGAGAAATAAAACAAATGAGAATAATATTATCTGTTTTTTTTTCTATAAATTTATTTTCTATTTAAAATAGTAAATAGTTTAGATAAAATGAGATTATTCATAAGTTAGAAATTTATTATGACAAAAAAATTGAAGTCTAACAAATTCTTCTAGTTGTCCAGAAATTATTATACGAGAATAAGTTTGATTTCAAAAATAGAAATTGTTTTAAATTTTCCATAATATTTCTATAAACCGAAAAAGGTAAAAGTCGATATTCAGTTACGATTTTCCGACGAGAGATCCTTTACTTATCTTTTCGACTGGGTACATGTTTACATATCGTTCTCATTGTCACGTTGTGCTCTATGCGATTAAATCACATGTGCATAAATTGAAATTGGTAGAGCGTGAAAAAAATAATCACACTTGAATTTAATACGCGATTTATTCTACATAATGACTAATTATCATTTTTCTGATAAATGATTTATTCAAAAGTATATCTTTCATTATAGCTATTCAAAAAAGTTTATATATTCTTGAAAATAGTTACTATTAAAATATAATATTAACAAACTTAAGATAAAGATCTGTCGAATCTGAGAGCAAGTCAATAGCCTCTAATTTAGACTCACTAAAAAGCATAGTTTTTAAAGCAAAACAAAATAATCTACTAGTATCAAAACTGTAGCTCAATTTTCTATGATACAGCAATTATTTTCATTTTTTAAAAATGACATATGAATGCTCGAAATATAATAAAAAAAACCAAAA